TGCAGACACGCTGCCGCACCGTTTTTCGATCCGATCAAGTCGGACGCGTTCGCGAACGCGGATAGCGAGTCGAGGTCGTTAGCGTACTTGGAATTAATGACATCGCGTATGAGGTCCTTGGAGATACCGCGCAAGCACTGCTCGTCGATCTTCGACGGTTGCACGTTCGCCGGCACCACGAACTTGGTCAAGATCTCACGGTTCTGGCACACCTGCGAGGCCTGCTCGGCGGACAGAAAGCCGCTGGCGGCTGCTGGTAGGGTAGGGAGCAAGTTTTCAGGCTTTTGAGGACCGCCTTCCGTCAGAGCAGGGGCCATCACTGCCACCGACGCTGCCAGTGCCGCGGCCTCCACATCCAGAGGCTCCCACGACGTGCCACAACGTGCGCGCCCGCCACTCCTGCGCTCCCCGTGCACCGCGCTCACTCCCATTCATCCATTACTACACTTAAGCTCTCTGTCCTGCCTCCCTTACCACCTCTGTCCGCCACCCTAGCTTGACTATTCGACTTGACTTGTCCCTTTCTTTGTCTCTTCCTCCGCTCTCTTCTGTGTTTCCGCTTTATTTTAATGTACAGTGTTGAGATTTACTGGCCTGCCATCCCTATGGCCACGGTAATTACGTCGTTTCCACAGTCTCTCTCATGTTATCGATCATTTACTCCCATTGTTTATCACAAGACGAGACTGCTCTCCTGCAAAAAAATCAAAGCATTACATTCATGCTTTCTATGCCTATTGCTTTGTATTCATTTATTTCGAACAATTACAAAATTTGTACCTTTTTTATTTCAATTGAGAAAGTGAGAAGAAGAAGAAAAAAGTGAGAAGTAAAAAATTTTAACTAAATTTAAATAAAAAATGTAATTCTAAATCATATATATAAATATCTTTCATAACAGAAAATTCTAAAAAACTTATATATAGTAGTTACTCAGCCCTTTAATCATCGCATGCAACGCAAAAAACGGGGTTATCTACGTTACGCGTTACGCAAAATTACATAACATTTTTAAAGCTACATAGATAAGTAAGCAACCGAAGAGCAATATTGAAAGTATAAATATAAGCTGTAAGTAGACTTCGTTCTAAAGAATCGAAATTGCATAGTCATAAACATGAATGTAACTCACTTCGTTTCCACGTTTGAAGAAGCGTAGCATACTTGACGTCTCGTTTCAATGTAATTCAACGTGTTCTCTTGCAATATATAAGCGAAAACATTCCGATATCACATCAACACGACGAGTCTCTTGCAGTCGTTGCGATGGCGTTTCTCAGTTTTCGGGATGATTATTTTCCAGCAGTCGAACTTTGTAATAACAATAATAATTCGCAACAGTAATCTCTCACCGCTCGCACGAGATGACGTAAACAACAGCGATGCTATTAAAATATTTCCATCGAGATCAGAGTTATCTGCTACACCACGTTCCGTGTATCGTTTTTCTCCCGTGTGTCCTGAAAACAGAAAAGAATAGGTAATGCCAAATGCTTACAATATCCTGCTCGGATTCACAAAAAATGCGTGCTTTTATACGAAAGCAAATTATAGTTAGCATATTTTCAGGAAAGTATTTTACGGTAACATTGAATTTTCACCTCTTTTTTGTATTTTTTAAATCTTAAAAATAATTTAATTTTGTTCTCCTAATTTTGCTGTTTTGAAAATTTTGCATAAATTTGTAGAAAACTATAAAAAATACTCCTATCTCTCTTAAGCTCTTTATACATAGTAAAAATTAAATAATAAATTAAAAATGCAAATTAAATTTTATATATATTGCCCCAAGTGCTTTCTCTTTTTCTTTTACAGTAAATAAGTCATTCTTTCATTTGATATATTTACAACGTTAAATTTTCAGTTTAGTTTTATCTTATCGCTATGAATCTGGTATGTATCACTACTCAAGAAACTCCTAAAATACTTTTACATATATGATACATTTAATATTCATTTTAATTCACTGTGCATTATTCGAAATTATATTTTAAAATAGCAAATTTGATTGTGAAGCAAATTATTGAAAATATCGATTTTTCTTAATACGTTGCAAACTATGTGCACTCGTTTTATTTCTTACAGCTTTACATTAAAAACAATTTTAATTAAGTATTATACATATAAATAAAGATTGAAACTTGCAAAGTTTACTTCAGTATAGTCAAATGTATATCGCGTTACTATAGTTACAATGTTTACCAGCTATTTCAGCGTAAATAATATTGCGCAATAAACGTAATCGGATCGTGATAATCGTGTAAACACGTGAAACCTTCGCGATTCTATTGAGAAAGAAAATAAAATCGACGGAGAAACGTATCGAGAACAATTGCAAACGATACATTCTTCGATACACCCGATACATACAAAATGATTCACGATTACTCGTGATGACACAACAACAAAATTTCAATCAATATGCTAAAAGGCGCAAAAAAATCCTAGATACATATTACTTGTACATTTTTTCAGAAACATATAATTCCGCGAAGAATCAGCTGATCTACAATATTGTATCGAATTTCTTCCCTTGCCCTTTTAAAACCTCCTTCTTATCGAAACGTCACGCTGACGTGGAGCTGTTATCACGCGAACTAATTAGAACTAAATAATGATACTTTGTTTTAAAAAAAATCGAATATTTTTTCAAAAAATGAGCTTAAAATATCCCGAGACCTCGCTTCAAAGGAGAGTGCAAAAAAACTACAAACGACGTTTTTACAACAAACGGTGGCGAGAAAAATCGCAACAAACTGCGGCGTATGCAATCTCGCGCCGGAAGCAGGCCGATATTTCTCCGCGTCGGGGCCAATCATGCGTATTGTTGACCGAGAACGACAAAGAGAGAGAGACACAGCTTTAACGAAAAAAAAAACCGCAAACCGGGATTCGAGAGAGAAAGAGAAGCGTGTCGAAAAAAAAAAAGCCCGGGGAGAAATCGGAAATTTCGCCGGTCGCGCGCAAATAGCGGAAACGAGATGAGAAAATCAAGTACGAGAAAGAGAGAGAGAGAAGGATAGCGAAAAGGGCGTATAAAGGGTCCAGGAGTCCCGAGGGCGCGAATTTCCTCCGCTTTCCGGCCGCGTCATAATTACGAAAAAAAAAAAAAAAAAAAAAAAAACGAAATACCTACAAGGACGCGCGTTGGTGTGCGAGACACACAAAGCAAATTAAAGCAGCGGCACACGGTCTGACGCATCACCACGTGATTCGGTCGCAGCAGTGGCGGCGACTACGACGACGACGACGACGACGATGACAACGATGATACGCGCGCGATTAATAAAAACAGACGGCGAGAGACAGAAAAGAGTCGCGCGTCTGTTGCATAACGCGCCGCACGGATTTCGAACACAGAGCCAAGTTCCACGTACACGCGATCCGAGAGAGAGAGAGAAAACCGGCTCGTTAATCCACTACTATTAATATCGTCACTGTGCTATCAGTAATGAGATTATTGCAATCGCGTAGAAAGATCAAGGACCGCGCGCGAATGGCCGAAAATGCCGGGAAACGCGGAATATTCCACGCTTCTCTCTCTCTCTCTCTCCGGGCGTACAATAATATTGAATCGGGTAAATTTGACGAGGAGGGGACGCGCACCACTAAATTCTCCCGCACTCCGAACTCGGCGGCGAGTATCGAGCGCGCGATACCTCGCCGCCTCGAGGAACACACGTAAGGAACACGCATGCAACGACACGACACGAGCGAGGGTCCGCGACGACGATATCGTCGTCGTCATCGTCCTCCTCCTCCCGCTTCACCTCCTCCACCTCTTCGTCGACGCAACGCGAAGACGCTCGCCGTTGCGGAAACACGCCCGATCTTACTCGGGGATAAAGAGACGAGAACGAGGTTCGTACGTACAATGGCGGAGCAAAAAACAGCCTCGAGGAGAGGTAGTCGCTTCCCTCGGAGATCCACGGGTTACAACGCACGCTCTCCTTCCTTTCTCGCTCGCGCCGTCTCTGTCCGTTCGTTCCTCTCTCACTCACTCATTCTGGCGCGCGAGCGCTCTCTCTCTCTCATTCGCTCGCTCCCTCCCTATCTCTATCTCGCTCGCTCTCACCTCTTCGTGGCCGGGCTCGACATGCTCTCTCGTGGGATAGCGCCGCAGGCTCTCGCGAGGAACGCTCTCCGTCTGGGCCTCGGTTCGCCCTTCCGGGGTGAGGCGAGGGGAGTCCGCGAACACTATCCGGGCGATTTCGCGCGGATCGTCCACGTCCCGTCACACCCAACGCACGATAATCCCGTCGTCCGCGCTCGGCTGCTCTCGTCTCTCTCCACCACCGATCTCGGTTTGCGAAGCGACGCGCGCGCGTTCTCTCTATCTCTCTCTGTCTGTCTCGCTCCGTCTCACCTTCGTCTATCTCCCTCCTGCTCGCTCCGCTGCTCCTCTTCTCTCGCGTAACTGTCGTCACGGTACGTCGTACGTGTAGTCGCTCTCGTTCACGGCACACAAGCGCACTATATTCTTCCTTCCTCCTCGCGGAGGCGAGCACGCATCGGCACGATTCTGCGCGAAAACGCCTCGCTCGCTTCTCTCCCCGACGACGACGACGACGACGAGGCAACGCACATCCGCACCCGCGACACGTTCTCGGATCGGAGAGAGTCCACACGCGCAAAAGCAACGACGCGAGCTATTTATCAATAATGTATATAGGAAATACGACCGACTTCGCTACGCTGGTTATTACACACCGCCACCGAGTTTCGCTCCTGCCGTTGCTCACTCTCTTTCTCTCTCTCTCTCTCCGATGATGCCGTCGTCGCGCGCGATCGACCAATACTGCGGCGCTCGCGGCCGGATGTGGCCTTCGTGGCCACGCTGTCCAATCGGATTCGTTTGCCGCGCCGTAACGTCGGAGCTAAAGTCCAATTCGCGAGTCCGCCGCGCGGCGGCGCTGGCGCGCATGCGCAGCTGTCAGTGCGCGTGCGCGCCTCAGTCACGCGCATGCGCGCCCTCTGGCGATTGGCTCGCGTCGAAAGCGTCCGACTTGCCGCCATATTCAAGCGGCGAGATTCTTTTGCCGCGGCGCCTAGCCTCGCGTCGTCAATCTAACCGTTTTTCTTCCACGGTTTTTTTTCTCCGTATTTTTCCCGCGTATTTCCGTACTTCGACGATTATATCGTGGATTCTTGATTCGCGTCTCGAGCCTCCACGATTGTGTTGACGGATTGTCGATTTCACGGCACTTCCGTTCGCCAAATATGGTAACGCGTTGTAAGTCGCAACGTGGGCGTCGACAAATTTTTTCTTCAAACAGGCTATAAGCACGCGACAGGTATTTCGAGTAATATTTTATTTAAAAAAATTGAAGAAACGTACATATTTATAGGGAGGAAGCTTTACGTCGATCATTATTGTATAATCGATTAAATAATTGTAGTGATACTCACTCTATTTCTTTGATTATTTTGTAGAGTGATGCCAGATGCAACGCAGTCGATGGAATTACTCGCGATTCTTCACAAAGTCCAGCGATTCGATGCTACATATGGGTATTGCACCTGTCGTCTGACTCTTACATCAGGTATGCGGAATTTTCTGATTAATTTATACGGATATCGCTACTTGCGGAAAATCGCCGCACGATGTCGTGCAAAGACACTCAACTTGATCGATACCGACGTGACATTAAAATATACAACTGTCGGTACATACGTTTTCGTGATTATCGATAACTCGATGGATAACTCGATTGTTATGAAAGAAGTAGATATTATCGACCGATATATTTTTGATATTAGCCGTAGATGGCAGCACAAGTTACATTTGAAAATAAAGATGCGTTTATCTCGAGAATAAGTGCGAGATGTGTGTGTAAATATTGTGTAAACGTGAGAAATATCCATTTTTTTTTTATTTTACTTGACTCGGAAGAACTACAATATATCATTCGCGAGAAGGTACCGAACTCTTATCAACTGACATCAGGTTTGTGATTATATGACTCAATATTTTTCTGTATATAATATTAACCTCGAAATTCTCTCTCTCTCTCTCTCTTTCTTCTTCCTTTTCAATCATTTCTCTCTCTTTTATACCTGAGACATAATATCGCCAAATGACAATAATTAAATTATTATATATATTATAAAAGTTACATCAATTTTAGATATATATCACATTATATAAATTAGCTATTAAACTAAAATAAATAAATTTTATTGGAGATATATGTTTCGAATTATAATATTAAATTAAATTAAAGACGACTTTACATCTCAGTTATCATATATATACAAAATTGAGACTTTTAGATGAAATTACAATTAGTAATTGTTAATTACAAGGTGAGAGGAAAAATACACGAGATACTTAAATACATTTCCTCCAAACATGATGGTAAAATTTATAACTACAACTGCAAACGTTTTTCGTAATTATAATCAACGCGCGTTGGAAAATAAATTAAAATTACTTGTGAGGGCGGCGCAAACACAAATGAAGATTCTATTTTTACATGTGTATATATATATATACGTATCGATTAATCGATGCCATCGCGCGAATGATACGGACGTTTGCGAATTTTCGGAATACGAGTCTGAAAAACGCGCAGGAATAAGCAAGAATGACAGAAAGAGAGAGAAAGGGAGAAAGAGAGACGTAGACGCGGTTAAATTGAGAGGGAGGCGCGGGATGAAGGGCGGGTGCGCGAGAGGGAGATATGGAAGCTAGCGTGAATATTTTTACCCAAGCCTGTTAACTACACTCTGTTATTTTATCTCACGTACGCGGCTTTCCTACTACCACCGTCGCGCCAGCGCTGGAATATAAGTTTTAAGGCGTGTTTTGATAGCGTCAGGGCGTGTCAGCCGGGGCTTCCTACCTAATGGATCGCTTCTTCGCTCGTTCGTTCATACTTTTTGAAGAGTGCATAGCTCATGATACCGCGAAACTTTCCTCCCTTTCCTCCCCCTCATCTCCGATGCACCTTGCATCCGCGAAATTTCACCCTGTCTTTCTATAATCAAAAGTTGTACGTCAACTCCAGAATACTGCTTAGAGGGCTTCCAGAAGAGCAGATTTTCAACGAAATATTTTATTGCCCTTATATATGTGTCACTTTTTTTCATTCGTATGCTTATGAAAAAAAAGTGACACATATATAAGGGCAATAAAATATTTCGTTGAAAATCTGCTCTTCTGGAAGCCCTCTAAGCAGTATTCTGGAGTTGACGTACAACTTTTGATTATAGAAAGAGAGGGTGAAATTTCGCGGATGCAAGGTGCATCGGAGATGAGACATTATCGACAAACCTTTAACGCATATATATTATAATAAGAAAATTAAATTATATTGTCAATTTTATACTTTTTTTTATTTTATTGATTCATCGACGATTTAATTTCATAAATAATAAGAACATTTTATGGCTGCAAGATTTTTATAGAATATCTACAGAACCATAAAATTTGTTCGTGTTTATAAATATTTAATAGTAAATGCCTAAAAGTTTTAGAACGATCCGCAATGCAGTTTTTATAAAAAAAATTTCAAAAAGCATAACTAAATAGATTTACAGTCTCGTTTTATATTGAATTTGCACTAAGATGGATGCCTTTAGAAATCTAAAAATAAGTAAGGTGTTTTTTGAAAATTTTTTATAAAAACTGCATTGCGGATCGTTCTAAAACTTTTAGGCATTTACTATTAAATTTTATAAACACGAACAAATTTTATGGTTCTGTAGATATTCTATAAAAATCTTGCAGCCATAAATGTTCTTATTATTTATGAAATTATATCGTCGATGAATCAATAAAATAAAAAAAAAGTATAAAATTGACAATATGATTTAATTTTCTTATTATAATATATATGCGTTAAAGGTTTGTCGACAATGTCTCATCTTTTATGCACCTTGCATCCGCGAAATTTTACCCTCTCTTTCTATAATCAAAAGTTGTACGTCAACTCCAGAATACTGCTTAGAGGGCTCACAGAAGAGCAGATTTTCAACGAAATATTTTATTGCCCTTATATATGTGTCACTTTTTTTTCATTCATAAGCGTAACTAAATAGATTTACAGTCTCGTTTTATATTGAATTTGCGCTAAGATGGATGCCTTTAGAAATCTAAAAATAAGTAAGGTGTTTTTTGAAATTTTTTTATAAAAACTGCATTGCGGATCGTTCTAAAACTTTTAGGCATTTACTATTAAATATTTATAAACACGAACAAATTTTATGGTTCTGTAGATATTCTATAAAAATCTTGCAGCCATAAATGTTCTTATTATTTATGAAATTAAATCGTCGATGAATCAATAAAATAAAAAAAAAGTATAAAATTGACAATATGATTTAATTTTCTTATTAATATATATATTAAAGATTCGTCGACAATGTAATTTCATAAATAATAAGAAAATTGGTTTTTAATTTTAAACAAGTTTTGGAGAGATATGAGAATGCTCGTCAATTTGTAACTCCGATGATTTCTCAGAGGCGACCTTCACAGTCCATATTTTTGACAAAAAAAAATTTATACTTGTAAATATTTAATAATAGGAGCCTAAAAGTTTCGAAATGATTAGCTGTAAAATTTTCCAAAAAAAATTCTTCAAAATTAATCTCATTTTTGGTTCTCAAAGCAGGCAGTCTTCTTATACTAATTTTCTCATCTCATCAGAGAAATGAAGTGATAATAAATAATTGGATATTCCTTTGAAAAATAATAATTCCGATATACTCTCGACTTAAATTGCCGAGCTTATTGTTAGAAGAAAAATATTTGCGAAAAAGATAATTGACTTTCGGCGCAAAATTTATGATATTGACGTTTAATTTTTTTTGCATCGTTATATAAACGAAAATATATTTCCCCCTCACATAAAATATAAAAAATACGCATTCGATTTTACACATTGAAAAAGTCGGATATATATATCGCGGCAAACATCTCTCTCTCTCTTTCTCTTTTGCCTGAGGATATCGGAATTGAAAATTAATTAACTCTCTGCGATATTACGTTGCGCATCTCTCCGGCAGCTCCAATAATGCATATAAACCCATATTGCGCGCGTACAAACGATAATAATGCGCACAACAATAATAATGAATAATATCTATATAGAGAGACTGAAATCTCTCGTGCGCGCGAGTTCCACCTGTTCTGCGGGGAGCGGAAAAACCGCTTTGCGGCCGATTATCGCGATAATTTCTCGTGCGGCGAAAGGATGAATGGGAATGGTTGGGCGCGGATGAATGAACCGCGGCGTATCACGAAACGCGCGCGCGGCGTATACGAACGCCGTTGTTTTGGTTATTTTGGCAAACCTAACATAACATGGCTTGTTGTTTAACAAAATAATTGATTTTGTCGCCTCGTCTCCGTGTGCCGCTGCTTTTCCCTGTCCCTTTTCCTCTCTCCATCTCTCTCTCTCTCTGTGCCATCGTCATCATCTCCCCCTCATTCTCCTTCGTGTATATCTTGCCAGTTTTCGTGCCACTTATATTTCTATATGTTCTCTCCTTCGCTCTCCTCTGTTCCATTGAGTTTCTCCTTGTTCTTCCCGTCTGTAAAGACGCGCGCGCCAGATAGTGGTCGCTACTTAGCCGCCGTACGAAAACAAATTGTTCGATTCCGTTTATTTGCCGTCGCGCGATGAAGATCTCCCGTAGATTAGTCCCTGGGAACAAGAGTCGTCTTGGCGCCGGCGTCAGCGGCGATATCGGAAAAGGAAGCCCGAGGGAGAGACGGCATCTTATCCCTTCCGACTGTCGTATAATTATCCTATTTTTGGATCTCACGCTGGCTTTTTTCTTATTTTTGGATATTAATGAGAGGTGAAAAGCGATAGAGAGGGAATAAAATAATATATGCGCGGCGAAAGCTTAAAAAGATTACGCGCGCTATAAAAATATAGGTATATTAGAGGGTGTAGTTAAAATCGCGGCAAAACTTAAGAAAAAATATGAAAGAATTTCGGAGGGAACTACGGCTTAAAAATGTATGTATATAGCAAGAGTACCGTCACATAGTGACTATTTAAGTGAGAAACTGTCGTCGCATCGACGATCGACGCTCGGTTTTTGCCGCGAATGTTTGCTTTAGTAAAAGCGAACGAAAGAGTCGCGACGTTAATACTAATTCGAGATTCAACCCCGTCGTGTGTCGAAGACTCTCGGGGATACCCGGTGTCGACGACTGATGATGTCCTCGCCGCGAGCTTCCTCTTCACGCTTGTCCCCAGCGGACGCAGGAGCAAGGAGGAAAAAAAAGAGAGGAAGAGAGTACTCGCTTTCTGGAGCAGCAAAAATATTATTTCAGATATTCGTATAGTCAATAGACGGGTTTAGAAAGGCTACGTACATACACTCCGCCGTTACGTTATTTTAACGTAATTATGAATTGTCACAATTGCGGTGGCTGTAATGTAATTATGTAAAAGTAACGTTCAAATCCTGGACATTTTTCTAAACTCCTTTCCAGGAAGTTTTGATAATAATTCGTTTATTATATTAGCACGTGATATATTTATTAATATATATATTTTTTATAAAAATAGATTAATTATAC